GATGCAGGCAGCACTCCCAGTGCAGGCAGTACTGCAAGATGCAGGCAGCACATGCAGTGCAGGCAGCACGGGGCAGCCCAGTGAGAAGCTGCACCACCCCAGCCCTGAGCTCCTTGTGGCCCCCATCCTGCCTCACCACTCCCTCCCCAGCCATGCCGTCCACACTCACAGCAGGTCCCCAGGGTCACCAGGGCCACCAACAGCAACAGGCTGACTGCCAGAAGCCCCGCAGGGACACAGCACCGCCGGGACCAGTGCCCTGCAAGACACACCAGCAGCCACGAGTCACCCACGCTGCTGGGGGCAGCGGGGCCCCTGTCCCCATCCCCATCCCCATCCCTGGCCCCCTCCGGACACGTACCTGGGCTGTGCTGGGTCCCTTCCCCTGCTGTCCCCACAGGTGCTGATCCCGGAACAACGTTCTCATAGGGGCTGTCTGTGTCGTCCATGCTGGCTGTGGGAGGAAGGGCGGGCAGCGATGGGTGATGATGCTGGCCATGTGTGGAGGTGTGAGGTCCCCATGACTCTTACCTGCCTCCAGCGCCTGGCTGGTTGTGCCGTGGCCCCCTGGCCCCTTGGCGAATCTCAGGTCGGCGTAGAGCACGCTCTGGGCCATGGGGCTGCTGGTGGCTCTGCCCCAGGCAGGAACAGGCCAGCAACTTTGACTTCTACTCACTTCAGTCAGATGGTAACTTATGATCATGTGTAGGGTGGGGAAAGTTCTTGATTTACAGGAAAGCAGAAGTAATTGACTGATTTGCAAAATGTGGTTTCCTTTCCAATGCTGATCCTGTGCAGAGGGCAAAAGCACTGCTCTGTTCCTGCACAGCACTCTCTGCCTTGTTCAGCATCACATCATAGAATCATAGAAAAGAGAATGGCTCAGACTGGAAGGGAGGTCAGACTGTTTTCCCCCTGGAGGGTGGTAGAGAGCAAAGCATTGTGAGTTGCTGAGTTGCCTGTGGAGTTAAACCACACCACCATTGTGCGGCACCAGTAGCCCCATAGCCTTGGCCACAGAGGGACCTTGCTTTCCCCCATGTTCTCTTCCCCATTGCATCACCAGTTCCATGTTCAGGTAGCAGCCAGCGTGGGGAGCACCCAGGAATGCCCTCACTGAGCTGCTTGTCTGCTCCCACATGGGGAGGATGGACATAAGAGCATCTGCCCCAGTCCACACAGGACCTGTTCCACCTCCCACCAGGCATGGGGACATTCGGACCCACGCTAGCTCTGAATCCCAACCCTAAACCCCAACGCCATCCAGAGTGTGAGTGTCAAAGTTTATTAGCAACGTGCAATAAACAAAGGAGAGGGATGAACAGCTGTGAATACAGAGTCAGTGCCCTGGCTACATGGCAGGCAGGGGTGGGTGCTGGGCACTGGCTGTCCTCATGGTCATCAGGGCCCTGCACAAGTATAGGTGGTATTTCCCCAGAGGAAAGCAGGTGGTGAGGACTGCAGCCACTGCAGGTTGACTGCACTTTTCTCGCATACCCAGCCATGGGCTTCCCTACAGTCACCACCAGACAGCCCTGATCCCGACACTCTGCCACAGGCCAGGAAGGAGCTGGTGGAGCGTTGGATTCGGAAGAGGCTGTTTGGAGGGAGTGGGAAGAGATAGGAAGAATGAGAGGCAGGGGGCTGAGCCAGGGAGCGCATCCCTGCCTGCAGGCTGGCTGTCCCCTCCATTACCTCTCCAACCTCTTGCAGCACTCACCTCTTTAGCACAGTGCCATCCAGCCATTTCCATTCAAACCCAGAAAGGCTCCGCTTCAGGCCCACATGGAAGACATCCATATGGGACACGTGTGTCAGGAAAGCCTGCACAGGAGGAGATAGGCATGAGTTCCTCAGGGACACCCGGCTGCAGCCACTTGGCTCTGGCACAGCATCCAGATCCCAGCTGGATTTTAGGCACTGGAAGATCACTGGGAGACACTGATGTCATCCATGGTGAGATTGGAGCAGCCAACCGGGTACTCACCAGTGTGCTGTTGGCCTGGATGATGGCCAGCTGTGCTCCCCTAGAGCAGCAGTCCTCCTTGCTCTGCTCCCAGCTCCTTTTGGCTGAGGAAAAGTAATAGCAGTGCCCTGCATGCCACAGCCAGCCAACTGGGCAGAATTGGCAGCTCCCTGTGTACAAACACAGCCTGTGGTGGGTGGCACTGAAGTGTCAGAAGACAGACAGGGTGCCACCAACCCTGCAGAGAGGACCCCAAACTCGCCTTTCTCCTACCTTGCAAAGCCTGCAGCCCAGAGTTGAGGTTCTCCATGCACTGGGGACCATGGCAGCAGCTCGCCTGTCGGGCTAAATCTGCAAAAGAGGAGAGAGAGCACAGTAGCATCTCCAATTTTTGTTGACATGCCTTCCAAGCTGGTCAACATTGCTGCAGCTGGAAACGGGTCACACAGCTGGCTTTTGGAGAAAGTGTTTCTGCCTTTTGGTTTCAGCATCTCATCCTGTCTTCACACCACCACCAGGTGACAGAGCAAGATGTCCTGGTGTCATCCCCAAGCCCACATTGTCCCATACCCTCCTGCCTTTCTCTCCAGCAAATGAAGGTGGTTTACCTTCATCTTTTACTTTTTGCCTCAGAGCCCACAGACCTGCAGCTCACTCTGTCCCATGCAGGAAGACACACAGAGCAAGCAGAAGGAGCACACAGAACCATGGTACCAACCAAGACTCCAAGCCCCTGGGCAGAGAGGGGGACACAGAGGCACTCACAGTGGAAGCTCAATCCAACGAGGATGATCTGTGCCAGTAGGAGCAGCAGGGACAGGGCTCCAAGGCCGACGGCTGTCCAGTGCCAGGACATCCGCGCCGTCTGCACAGGGGCTAAAAGAAGGAATGCCATTTGGGGCTGAGTGACAACGATGGGGAACCCCCCCATCACACCCTTATATCTGGTCACTGCAGGCAGGGGCCTCCCTCATGCTCTGTCCCCAAAAGATGACAGAATGTTGACACGAAATGAAAACATGGCACAGGGAAGGCAGCAGAGCAGGTGCCTACATGCACTGTGCCACTCAGCAGGCTGCAGCAGCGTGCAGCCCCCCAGCTCCACCAGCAGGCTGTTTGCAGTGTGGGAATGGGGCAAGAGGATCTGCAGGAGAGGAGAGCAGTAGGGAAGGGTGGGGGTGCTTCTGGCAAGAAGGATGGAGAGCAGTGTGCCCTTACCTGGTGCAGGGGGCAGGCGCAGCTCAGCATACATGACATCCCCTTCCATCCTTCCCTCTCTCTCGCTGTGCGCCCCACAGCTATGGGGGGGAGCAGCAACCCCTTTCCCCAGCCTCCCTCTGTGGCAGCCGAGTGTGACACGAAATGGAAAGTGTCACTTCCTGGTGAAGTCCCCGGAGACACCAGCTGGGTGACAGCCCCAGGGGGTGCAGGCTGGCACCGTGGGACAAAGGAACCCCGCACCCGCAGCGCCGACTGAGAGGGCTGGAGGTGTGAAATACTCTCAAGGCTGCTCTGCCTGCTCTGGGAAGTGAGGGGAACGTCTGAGAGCAGGACACGAGGCTCTCTCCCGAGCAGCAGGGTGATGGGGGCGTGTGCAGAGATGGTTTCTGCCACCTCTTTTGCATGGGGCTGCAGCTGCGTCTCAGCCCTGGAAAGCCGGGGGATGGGGTGCTCCTTCCCCTCCCCCTCATCTTGAGGGCTGCCCCGACGGGCATCCCCGCGGTGCCCTGGGGCTGAGCTACCCAGCGCGGTCGGGGCTGGATGAAGCTGCTGGGGCTACTGTTTGACGGTTAGGGTGAGGGTTAGAATTAGGGTTCTGCCAGTTCCTCCCCGGAGCCCCGATCCCTGCCGGCGCGGAGATCAGTGGGGGATGGATGCTCGAGGGACGCGCACGCCCCGCCGCGCCAGGACTACGTTTCCCAGCGGCTCCTCCCGGGGCTGCACATGCTCCTTGCTGCTCCCGGCGTCTCCCGGCAGCTCCCGGTGCAATTCCCAGTGTGGCTCCCGGTGGACCCAGGTGCGGCTCCCGGTGCGGCTCCCGCCGCCATCCTCGGTGCGTGGTCCCCGTTGGGTCCCATCCCCAGCGTGGCTCCCGGTGCAGCACCCCGCTGACCGGGGCCTCCCCCCGCGCCATGCCCCGGGGGCGAGCCTGGACGCAGGCGGAGGTCGGCAGCCTGCTGGCGCTGGTGGGGGGCTCGGGGGAGGCCGCCCTACTGATGGCCTCCACCTCTCGGCCCAACGAGGCTCTGTGGCAGCAGATCTCCCGCGGGCTGGCGGCGGCCGGCTACAGCCGTAGCGTGGCCCAGTGCCGCTCCAAGTGGAAGGCACTTAAGCAAGCTTTCCACTCGGAGCGGGAGACGCGACGCAGAGCCGGACTCCACTCCCCCCGTCTGCCTCCGCACTACCGAGCCATGAAGAGCATCTGGAAGGCTGCCGGTCGACCGGTTTTCCGCGAGCGGCGTCTGCTGGGTGGGTGCCGGGGCTGTGGGAAGGGTGGGTGCACAGCCAGGGTAGAGCTAGAGCTTTTTCTCTTCTTCCAGACCTGGGGAAGCTGCCTCCCAGGAGGCGCAGATCGGTCCCTGCCACCTGCTCTCCATCCTCACCAGTGCCAGCAGGTACCTAGAGTGGGGCTTTTGGGCTGTGGGAACCCTCAATTCCTGTTTGCTGAAGCTCCTCTCTGCAGATTCCCAGGGCATGCTGCTGTCGCCGCTGCTGTGGCATGTGAAGGATGAGCCGGAGAGCTGTAAGTACCACTCTGCCCCATCACACCGGGCTGCACGGCCACGGCTCCAGCCCATGCCCGCACCAGCATGATGGGAAGAGGGGTCTTAGGGGTGCTCCCAGGATGGACTTGTCGGTAGGGATGTGCATGGATAGAGGTTTTGGGAACAGCCCCAGAGCATGAGGATGTGGGGCACAAGGAGTTCCCCAGCCCTGACCCAGTCTTGGGACTGCTGGCTGCTCATGCAGCTGGCAGGGATGAGGTCCTGCTGCAGCCCAGGAGGCTCTTGCAGCTGTACAGCACTGCAGAATCTGCAGCCCCTGCCTTTAGCTGCAGGAAAAATGCAGAACTTCAGAGAATATAGGACTGAGGGCAAGGGCCAGAGCTGGGAGCATCTCCACCTGCATGCAGCCTGAAGGGTGCTCACAGGGATTGGCACTGAGGTGATGCAGGCTGCATGCCTGGTTTGTGTGGGCAGGTGGAAGCAGCAGTTGCTGTTCCCTGAGGCAGCAGTCATCGGGGTGAAACAACTTCCTCCAGACAGGAGCCCCAGCCTGCTTTGTCCCCAGGCCCCCAATAACAGGGGGGAGTGAACCCCTGCACCCAGCCAACATCCGCACTGGGTAATTACATTGTCTCCCTAAATTCCCCCTGCAGTTTCAAGTGGATGTGGGATTCTCCTTCACTTCCAGTCCTAATCTGTTGCGTAGCATGGCTGTGCACCGCTGCGCGGTTGCTGCCTTCTAGCCCAGAGGTGGCTGCATTGCAGTGGTGGGTGAGTGACTCCTGCTTTTGTTTCTAGCTCATGAGACACTTTGAGGCCCCACAGGGTGATGGGGAGCTGTGGCTAGGGCACGCCGGGCTGGCCGTGCAGCAGGGCAGATCCCAGGTTGTTGCTGTTTCCAGCAGGTCCCAACAGACCCTGTGTCTCCTCTCTGCTCTCTCTCTGCAGCCTGCGGGGAGCATATCGCTGGAGCAGTGCCTGACCCCACGTCTGTCCCAAGTAAGGCTTCCCCTGCCCTGGTTCCCTCTCTCGACCCTGCCAGCAGACTCTGATGCAGTTCTTATTGCAGACACCACTCACTGCATCCCTCTCCTTCCCATCCTGGGTGAGTATCGTCCCCTGACCACCGAGCTCAGGCATCCTGGAGAGAGAAACAGTCCTTGGTGACACTTTGCATCTGCTCCCTGCAGGCAGCCAGACTGTCCTGAAGCAGGAAAGTGCTGAGCAAAAGGCAGGTAAGAACTTGTGCCCTCTACTATGTGCTAAGCTGGAGCAGGGGTCTGAGCCCTGGCAGCTGGGGCTGAGCAGGGGACTCAGTGGCCACACAGTCCCACTGCGACCCCCATGCCAAACTCTGGTGCAGGTTTCCCCATTGAGACATCCCTAGGGACGGGAGAAGGGAACATTGTGCTGTCAATGCCCACTGCAGCCCCCGGCTCTCCCAGACCCTGCGAGCAGACAGCAGCCAGTGAGGATGTGTCGGACGCCAGCCTGCAAGGTAGGTCATGCCCGCAGACCCCTGTGGATGCACAGTGAGGCTGGACTGCCCCTGACCCCCTTCCCACTGCAGGCTGTGGCGTGGCTGGCCTGCTGCAGAGTGTGCAGCAGCTGCTGGTGCAGATTCTGCAGACGTCGCGACAGCAGCAGGCGCTGCTGGAGAGCCTCGCCAGCGACACCGTCTCCCACCTCCACCTCCTCTCACACAGCCTGGTGCAGGTGGGTGAGACCTTGCACCAGCTGCTGCTCCGTCCACAAGCCCCAACCGGCCATGGTGCTCCGCACATTCCCCTTTTCGGGGGCAGCCCCCCAGTGCCACTGCTCTCTGGGCTGCCTTGTGCTTCCCCAGATCCCAAAGAGGAGTGCCGGGCATCTCCTGGCTCTGGCTGCACCCTGCCGTGAGTGTGCTTGTGGCACAAATCTTTATAACAGGAGCTCTGGGGATTTTAGATGTTTATAGAAGACACAGATTTTAGTAACATTAAAAATAGCTTTTGTATCAGCAGTGCCAATTGACCAATTATTTCCCCCCGTACTCAAGGTTTCGAGTTAAGCGGAAGGGGAACTGCTCTATTTAAAGCCTCCCAGAAACTCCCCTGGGCAGGTGTGCACCCATGGGTGGAACTTGGATGGTGCCACTGTCACCTCTCCAACACCTGGCTCCCAGCCCAGCGGGGGCGAGCTGTGCTGGGGAAGTCCATCACCTCTAGTGGCACTCTTCCCTGCGTCACATGCAGTGGTTCCGTGACACTGCCACCCCCACTCTCAAGCCCTGCTCTGTGCTCTGGTCTCTGTTTCCAACAGGCTGCAGCCACCACCCCAGGGCACAGAGGCACACAGGCTCACCCGGCATGGAGAAGGGACATCTCCCTGGCAGGAGATAAAATGTGACGTGTGGGTGGTGGGAGGCTGGGGGCAGTGAGTATGCAGTGAAATGCAGTGTAGTCTAATGAACTTAAATGAAATGCAAAAAAAATCCAAAGCAATGCAATGCAGTGCAATGCAACACAATGAAACAAAGCTCAATCCTAACCCTAACCCAAATGCAATACAGTGGATTGCAATGACATGCAATGCAGTGCAATGCAGCGCTACCCTAACTGTAATCCTAACACTAAGCCTAGGGCTTAGAGGGGTGTTGTGGGGGTGCAGAAGGCTCGAGATGCAGTGGGGCTGCAGATAAGAAGTGCAGAGGATGTAGCAGGTTGCAAAGAGGCTGCAGTGTTGGGGCACGATGAGGTTGCACTGCGGTTCAGCGCGGTGCAGTGAGGTCGCATTGGGTGCAGTGAGGTTGCACTGGACTGCCGTGGGATGCGGCAGTGATCCAGCGGAGCGCAGCACCGAGCAGCACTGGGCGGCAGCAGGCGAGTGTCCAGGGGTGCGCAGGGCCGGAGCGACGGCTCAGCAGCCAATAGGAGATCAGGAAGGAATAAAGGGGGCGTGGTCACGCCGGGGTCCGCCTCACTCGCAGAGGGGGCGGAGCCAATTCGGTGCAGCCAATCAGGCTGCTGGATGCGCGCGGGGGTGGATTTCTAAAGACGTCACAGGAGGGGGATTCCCCCAGCGAGGGAGCCCCCCCCCCCCCCCGGACCCCAAATGGGGTACAAGGAGGGGGCCAGGGGTGTTTTTTTCGTGCCCAAAGCCCCACCTCGCCTAACTCGTCCCGTACCTGCTGCACGAGATCCTGCACTGCAGACCTCACCCTGTTCGTTTTCCTGGACACCGTGGGCTGCAGGCAATGGGACATTTTGGGAAGATGGGATGGGGTAAGAAGGGCACGGAGAGGTGAGATGGGCACCCAGAGCCAGAGTTCTGAAAGCTCAGCCCATCCTTAATCACTTTTCTTCCACAAAAGACAGGTCATGCTTACAGCTGGAAGCCATTCCACCCTACAGCAGCGGTGAGAGCTGCCAATTGTTCCATCTACCTTTCATGCACCAACTGCAACAGCATTGCCTCTGAGCCAGGACGTGCCCCCAGCTGCTGGGGTACTGGCACGTGGCTGCCATGCTTTGGGACCTCATTCTGGTCTGCTGAGCCCTGCAGGGAGCCTGCAGTGCTGTCATCAGCTAATAAGAACAGAAATTCCCACGGGCTGGTCTGGGTTCCAGCATGGTGCTGGCAGGAGATTTGCTGACTCCTGGAGCAGCATTCTATGTGGGGCTGAGGGTTGTGGTGCTGTGCATGGTGATGCAGTGACATCTGTGTCTTCAAGTGACCCTGCTCCATGCCACATCCTTCAGCACATCCCATGGTAATGCGAGGGCAGGCACAGTGACAGCACTATGCTCAGTCCCACCATGCGCTCTGAGGTGCTCTCGTCCCCTCTCCCCTTTTCTCCTGTTAGCATGTCAGTGGGGATTGGCAGAGATTGGCAGATTTTATGTGCTGGAGCAACACATGGCTCAGTGCTGGAAACCAGACTAGAAATCTCTCAATTGCATTTGTTAAGAGTTGGTTTTGGTTCAACCCAAATGCTCTCTTTAGAAATGCAATGTCTTGGGTTTTCGCCCTGAAGTTGATGAAACATCTTTATATGAAGTAAGAATAAACGGCAATATTTCCCTTGGTGCAGACACACTTAGGCTCACACAGAAAGATTCAGTGTGATTTCTCTAACACAGCTTCCACTGAGAGTGCTGCTCATAATATCCAGCAACACATTGTTTAGCACTTGCCTTTCTCAAAGGAAATCGTAGCGGTGATATTTGAGCGAAGAGGGTTTTTTATGAGAAAACTTTAATCTGCAATCCATACAGGGAACAGTGGCTTTGCACCCTATGTAAAATGTTCTCGATCTCCGCTGCCATCCTTTTTTCTTCCTCTGCAGGCTTGCTTCTTCAGGGAAATTCATCTGGGAGTGCACATGGTGCAGCAGTTTGACTTCTGTTGCTGCGGGGCTGATTCCACATGAGAGCACTGCCCGCATCCCCTGCAGTGTTATCTGTGCCCAAGCTCTGGCTGTGCCCACAGCAGGATTTACATCAGCTGTGGGATGCGGGTGTGATGGGTCACAGGCACAGCAGTGGGGACATGCTGCCTCCAGCTCTAAGGCTTTGTGATGCTGAACCCCTACCCAGTCCCTATGAACTGCCCTTGTGGTATCGGCGCATAGAGGCTGTCACCCAAGGAAACCAAGCTGAATGTCACTGAGGTTGTCTGGATACCACGTGATGGGAACACCGCTCTAAAAATGGCCTGGGATGGGGGAAGAGGAGACTTCTTGTGGCTGCCAATGGCCCACGTTAAGTGCTGATTAGAACTCAGTCAACAGCCAAGTTTTTTGTAAATAAGTTCCTGGCCATATATGGAACCTGGCTTGTGTAACACAAGACTTTCTGCCTGAGTAGCACCTCCCTATGGTACTTCATGACCACCAAAGACTTCCTTGCAAGAACTCCATGCTAGCACTGTGCATGCATAGTAGGAGATGCTGATACATAACAATGCCAGCTTTTTGTCAGTCTCAGGTTGACAAGCTTAATTCCTGGATTTTGGTGACCACTGCCATCTTGCTGTCAGGGCACATGAGGGCAAGGAGTGAGCAGGGAGAGATGCTGCCTATGCTCACACAGCTGCTGCAGGGCTGAGTGATTCACGCCAGGCACATTAAAGTTGCACGGTGCAGGCTGCAGCAGGTTGAGCCCCACTGGGAAGGCAGGCAGCAGGCAAAACATCCCACAGTGTGATTTAGGGCCAGGAAGGAACTATGGGGTTTCAGGGATGCTCATTTCCAAGCAGGAAATGCTGGCCCAATGGCAGGGATGGGATGCAGGATGCTGAGCAGTGACTGGACAGTGCAGTGCTGGCCACAAGGCCACTCCCTCGTGCCTTTCCTCTGTCCCCTGCTGCCCCCCCCATCAGGACAGGTATATGAAGGATCACACTGCTCTGGATGTTGTGTCTGTCCTCATGTTGCAGGTGGGGTTCAGAGCTCCCATCCCTCCCCACCACCAGCTGTTCAGGGACCCGGTTGCCATGAGTATGTCAGATGTACCTGGTTGCTATGGGAACAGTTGCCATGGTGATGCGGTTGCTGTGTCTGGCAGCGGCAGGAATGGAGCACTAGAAAGGCTGTTCCCACTGGAGTCACAGGAATGCCAAAAATCTGAGCAGGGAACAGGGAGAGCACAGTCTTTATCCTAACAGCATCCTCATTAGGGATGGAGGTACCTGGGAAGCAAGCAGGGGGATAGGGATATCTATCTCCTGACAGGCAGCCAGAAGGACCCAGGGGATGCATTGGGCTGTAACCGAGTGCTGGGATCCTCCCTACTGATGCCTGCCAGTTTCCGCCTCCAGGAGCATGCCTGGCTGCTTGGCCCGGCCTTGAGATGAAAAATGCAATTGCAGATTTAATTAACTGAGTGCTGAGCTGTCCTGGATTCAGAGAAGTGAATCCAAGAGGAGCTGGTGAGTGGTTACTTGCAGCTTTCCAGGACAGCTCCTATGGATAAACCCCACTGAGACACATCTCAACACATACTTGTTGCAGCCTGTTATTGTAGGGCCTACTTAAACTCACCAAGAAGCAGTTTTTTGTTTCAGCCCCACAGTGGTGGGATGGGGCACAGATGCCATGCAGGACACAATCCTCTCTGTAAAGTTCATAGAATCTATCACAGAATCTTAGGATCATTTGAGTTAGAAGGGATATTTAAGAGACATCTGGTCTAACTGCCCTGAAATGAGCAGGGAGGTGCTCATTTGTGAGCAACTTTGTGAGGTGCTCAGAGCCTCTCCATTGTTATCTTGAGTGCCTCCATGTTGGGGTGCAGTGTGCAGGACCCCTTGATAGGCAGATGCTTGCACTGGATGGCACAAGCACCACACTTGGCACTCTGCATGCATTGCAATGATGCAAGAGCTCAGTACTGTGTCTCTCTGGGAGATGAAGAGACGCAATTGGGCTTGGTGAAGTGAGCAACGTTTTTAATTAAAAATTAATCCCCAACCGGCCGCCTGGCTGGACCAGACAGAGCATTTTGCCTGGCAGAGACAGGGATGGAGGATGAGCTCCCGGGTGCCGGACCCCGGGGCCCTCGCACAGGCACCATGGCTCAGCACTGCTTGCTGCCCCCTGAACAGTGGGCCTGGAGCTGCCCCTGTCTGCCCTGCACCCACCAACCCCCAGCCCACTGTGAACCAGGATTCATTCCTGGGCTGCAGCCTGGGGAAATGAAGCAATCTGCTGCAGCAGGGAGAAGGGGCAGTTGGGTCTCCCTCACTCTGCTCCATCTCACCTCCCATCCCCTCAGGGTGCCCAGGGTCACGGTTTTGCCCCCCTCATGTAGCTGGCAGGAGCCCAGGATGCAGCCCAGTATGTGGCACAGCTTCTGCCCCACTGCCAACATGACCTAAGGCTGTACAGGGGCACATGAGGACACCCTGGCTGGCACACAGGTTTTGGGGACTTGACTGTCATTGTGTGCCCCCCAGAATACCTTTCCCCCAACTCCCCTCAGACTGAGACAGCGTTACTGTAAGCAGATCTGGGGGCCCAGCGCATGCATTGCTCTCTCCCAGCAAGGCTCAGTGCCTGCAGCTGCCCAGGGCTGGTGGCAGTAGCAGGGATGTCACTGCTCCAGCACTATGGGGTGGGGACAGTCACATGCAGGGCACCAAGGTGTCACCAGGGGGGCTGAAGGTAGTGGGGACAGGGGCACTCCTGAGCCAGATGGAGTGGCAAGCAATGCCTGCTGACAAGTTCAACCGGGCTGTAATTGTGACACTGGGACAGCTGTGCACCAGCCCAGAGGAGTCCTGCTGTTCCCTGTGTCAGCATCCCTGCCTGAGCCCAGTGCACTAGAATCAGCTGGTGCAAATGCTGTTGATGGAGGCCACCGCTGGATCAACGAGCCCCAGCTCCTCCTGTTCATTGACGCAGAGCTGGTACCCACAGCCCTTACGGCGGGGCAGCGGCCCCAGGCGCCCGCTGGGCTTGGCGCGGGGTGGCAGCAGGAAGCCCACACTGCCGGCGATGAGCAGGTGCCAAATACTGTGAATGTAGAAGTAGTTCTCCTCTGTCTCCACGAAGGCGTAGAGCAGCACGGCAGCCACCGCAATCAGTGCACCTGGGCACAGGTAGAACGCCCAGCGCTTCCAGGTGGGTGGGTAGCAGTGGCGGCGACGGATGGAGCGAGCCGTCTGCATGGAGACAACAGGACCTCAGGGGTGGCCATGGTCCCTTTGCCACCACACTGACAAGCCATGTCCCCCACCCCATGGTGGCAAGCTGGGGAGGACAGCTGATACAACAGGAAAGGGATGCAATGAGTCCTTACCCAAGCAATAGCCATGATGCCCAAGGCAAAGAGGCTGGGTCCCAGCAGGTTCCATAGCCCATGGCGGTCCATCTGTAGTGCCATGGAGAGCAGCATGGCCCCCAGAAGGTACAGCACCTGTGGGGTTGTGACAGAGATGTCAGGCTGGACCTCCACTCCAGGACCCTCCCCACCACACGCACTCTCTCTGCACTCACCTGCTTGACCACAGGCTGCAGCCGGGCCATGGCGATGACAGTGACCCAGACAGACATGAGGGAACCCAGGAAGTCACAAAACTGCAGCACGTCATAGTCCATGATGCAGAACACCACGATGCCTGGCTGGTCACAGGCATGATAAAACTGGGGCCACAGAGGGAATGGGGTGAGAGTCATTCCATATTGCCCAACTCCCTGCCCATCATCCTTTCAGTATCTCAACAAAAGTTACCCTTTCAGTATCTAAAGGGAGTCTATAGGAAAGAAGGGTACACACTCCTTAGGAGGGTCTGTTGTAATAGGACAAGGAGAAATTATTTTGAACTAACATAGGGGAGATTTAGATATGGGCTGCCCAAAGAGGTGGTAGATACCCTGTCCTTGGAGAATCTCAAGGTCACGCTCTGAGGACCTGACTGAGCTGTACATGTCCCTGTTCATTGCAGGGGAGTTGGACAAGATGACATTTCCAACTCAAATGGTCCTATGATTCTATCCCCATCCTGCACTTACAGTGGAGAAGAACATTGTGAAGATGTAGACAGCAGCTTCTAAGAGGTAGTGACTGCGCACAGCAATGGCCACGGGAGGCACAAACATAACATTGCTGAGGCAGAGCAGCAGAGTGGAGAGGAGCTGGAAACCATAGGAGAATGCCTCAGCATTGTCAGTGCAGCCCCAGCCATTCCATCCTGCAAGAGAGGGGAAGCTCCATCCAGTACCCATTGGAGAGCTGGGACAGGAGGACTGACGGAGTGCCTAGAACAGATCTTACCAGCTTTGCACTCACAGGCTGCATACAAATAATTGTTGGTACGCAGCAGCTTGCACTGCCCATAGATGCCACAGTCGTTGATGCAGGGTGAGAGGTAGGCACGCAGGTAGACCTCAGCTGTCACATTGGTGCAAGGCTCGAACCTGCCCCGTGGGGGAACAAGGGTAAATACTTGAACGTGCATGCACTGGGCATGAGCACAGCCCTCAGATGCACACAAGCCAACAGCTGCTTCCCAACTGAGAGCTTCAGAGCAGAGCTGCAGGAGCCCACAGTGCAGTGACATCCAGCTCTGCCAGGACAGGGAGGCTGGGATACCCTGCGATGCTTGGGATGCACTGAAAGTGCCAGGATGCACTGGGATGTGGTGACACACGGCAGGCATGCTGGGATCTTACCCATGCTCTGTGGCGCAGAGGGAGCGCAGGCTCAGGTACCAGCTGCCAGTCTGGGGGTAAGGGATGCGCAGGCGGCTCAGGCTGGACGTGGCGTTGACAGAGAGCAGGAAGCCTGCCAGGGACTCTGCCGGCAGGGAAAGCTACGGGTGAGCTGGGCAGGGAGCAGGCCAGGCACCCAACCACCCCAGGCCATCCCTGGCAGGGCACGGGGGTCAAAACCCATGACCACAGCAGGGGGACAGGCACAGCCCAACCTACCTGTCTCACAGGTAACCGATGTGTTGTCACCGGATGTCAGCGGGACCTCATGGTTCAAACAGCCAAACACTGTCACATTCTCACCACACAGGGAGCTCTGGGGGCAGAGGGGAGATGGCCCTAAAGCAGCACTGGGAGTGTCCCCTGCTCAGCACAGCACTTGACAGCATCCTAATATATCATCCTGAGCACCCTGGTCATTATCTACTGTAACCCATGGTCCACCACCCAACAGCTCTTAAATCATGGGCCATGACCCAAAGGCACCCCTGCCCCAGACCCCAACACGCCCATCTCCTGGCCTGACCACCTCACCACATTGAGCCGCAGCTCCAGGTTGAGCACCCCGCCACTGTCCAGCACTGGCAGGAGGTTGATGACAAAGACGGCAGGACGGTCGGGTGGCACTGACACGTTTGGCCCAAAGAAGATGTAGAAGTGGACGGAGAAGGTGTCGAGCTCGTTGCGCAGCGTGGGGCGGATGGGCCAGCAGCGCTCAGTGGCAGGCATGGTGGAAGAGATGCGGAGCGGGCGCTTGGTGCTGTTGGGGCTGGTGGGAGGGGGGCTGTCCCCCAGCACCATCCCACCCGCGGAACCAAAGGAGTGCGGCATGTTCATGGAGGCGCTGGAGGGCAGGAAGGGCGGCCGGGCCAGGCTGGGGCGGGAGCAGTCTGGGAGCAGAGCCATCAGCCCTGGCACCATGCAGCCCCCCGGCCTCCTGCCCTTACCTCCCACCCGCCCTCCCTATCGCCCAGGTTGGCAATCCCTGCATCCTAGCACATCTCAGCATCCCAACACCTCCCGGTATCCCAGAGCATTCCAATGTCTCAGCACATGACCAGTATCCCACAGCATCCCAGCACCTCCCAATGTCCCAGTACTTTCCTCCTAATGCCCCAACATCTCCAAACATCTCCCAGTGTCCCAGCACCTCTTAGTGCATCCCAGCATCACCAGCAAGCTGGGTGTCACTCTGTAGCCAGATCCCACAAGCAACCCTTGCCATCTCCCTCTCAACTCTGTGCCCTCTCAAGCCTCCCTGTGTCCCTCACCTGTCAGCTGCACAGTGATCTGGAAGGAGACGGTGCCCGGAGACCCAGGGTGCCTCTCTACCAGCACATAGTACCAGTGCTGCCAGAAAGGCAGGTCCAGTGCCAGCTGGCAGGGCGCACGCTCCCGGCAGTCCAGTGCTGTTGAGTTGTGCAGTGGGGGGGCCTTCGCTCGCATGCGCAGCCAGAGTGGGCAGCCCTCGACCCCGCGGCATCGCAGCACCTCCACCAGCACACGTGATGTGTAGCTGGGCACGAACACCCTGTGGGATGCTTGCATCAGTGCGGGTCAGGGGCTGAATCCCAAGGGTTCCCTTCCTTATCAGATCCTCTCACACTCACTTGTAGAGGCAGGAGCGGTTATGGGGAGCCATGCTCTGCTCAGTGATGTAACCAGGGTATAGCACGGCAATGTTCACCAGGCGCTGCACAATGAGCTGTGGCTGGAAGAGGTACTGGCACTCCTCATAGAGGCCCTGTGCCAGTAGGACAGTCAGCATGGGGACCGGCCACACCGAGCCAGTGTCCCACAGCCACAGGCCCAGCACTATGGTGATGGGGTAGGCAGTCTGCCCTGGTCTCCTCTTTCCAAAGGTGCCCAGGACCCGACCCCTGCCAATTATTCATATGCCCCCCAAGTGCCCCGTATAAGACAGCTAGCCAACCCAACTTATGTGTTCCCTCAGTCCTTCACCTTGACAGAGATCTTGCCCTCATCCTTGGGCAGATGGGCAGCCAGGAACCAGTCTCCAGGAAGAGGGCTGGTGATATTGAACACCCCTGTGGTGCGGTTGGGCAAGGTCCAGGTGAGGGTCAGCGCAAAGGAGCCAGGGACAGCCGTGTCACTGGGAAAGTGTGTGTGCAGTGGGTTAATGACGGAAGGAGCCCCCGAGCGGAAATACCTGCAGGAGAGACAGCAATTAACAGAGCCCAGGTTGTGCAGCATGGCAGGGGCAGCCCACCCTACAAGCAGGGTGTGTCTCTGCAAGCAGAGGAAGACATCAGTAAGCTAGGATCTTGGTGAAGACCCTGAGCTTCCCAGGAAAGGTGTCCAAGTAAAACTGCTCATAGATGAGCTGCACAAACAAATGAAAATTGCAACAAATGAATTATGGGGAGGGAGAGTGAGTGTATGCATCTGCATGTGTACGAACATGTTTGTGCATCTACGTGCATATGTGCATGTTTGTACACATAACTGTGCATGTGTGTACCTGAATCCAGTGCCTGTGTGCCTGTGTATGCATGATCTATGCATGCATGCAAGTGCATGTCTGCATGTGTGTGTAGCCATGCGTGCACAAGCAAGAAGCAGATGGGTGCAAGTAGGCTGCAGGGCACATCCAGGAAGACAGCAGCAGAAGGCAGGATCAGGGGGAAGGAAACAAAGCGGGCAAGTTGCTTACTTACACGGTGATGCTACGATCTGGGCATTGGTCCCCAAAGGTGCCACCTTGCTCTTTGAAGGTGATGAGATTCCAAACAGCAATGACCGTGTCCTCAGGGATGTGGAAATGAAAGAGTTCGATGCTGGCAAAGGAGCGGAAGGGACTGAGCTTGCGTGGTGTGCGGGTGAAGTAGTCAGTTACGAAGAGCCCATCTGCAGAAGAGATTCAAGGGACTCTCAGTGTGAGGGGCAGGAGAAGCTGCAACTGAGCCAGGGCTGATGTCAGCTGTGCCTACCCTTGGCACAGTCTGCACTGTTCAGCACCAAGAATTATAGAGCTATGCACTTCCTGCACAGCTCCTAAGCTCTCCTGTGTTTGTGGAGGAGGAATGGTGCACATATGTGCGCACATATGCATGTGTGGGCGCTGTCTGCATGCACAGCTAAATGAAGGCGTGCACACCCACACAAGAGTGTGTGTGGCTGTGTACAGCTTTATGTTTAAGACACCTTCTGCTATTGCATGGCAGGTCTCACTGTCCAAAAGTCCAGCTGCCTGGGGATTTCAGGAGCTTTAGCAGGAGAAGGAAGACATTTCCATGGTACATTGGAAAGAAGGAAGATCTGATCTCCAGACAGGAGCAGTAACTTCACTCCACTATTGTACCACTTCCCCACTGCCAGCCTAAGCTATCTATGCCTTGCTCACCAAGAATAAGATGTAGGTCTCTACAAGCAGCCAACAAAGGGAATGCTAGCAGAGGAGCAGATGGGAGCAGGGTTGTGGCCAGGAGGATGTATCCAGCATGGAAGGGGACAGCTGAGAAGAAAGACTGCTTTCTACAGTGTCTGGCCAGGAGTGTGCGCATGCGCATGCATGCACGTGTGTTTGTGCTGCGTGTGTGCAGCCCCAGCAGGCTGAACACTGACATGCATCTGCTCCCTTGCCTGGAACAAAGGCAGCTCCCCCTCCCTTCGTTGCCAGCCAACACAAGATGGGCATGAAATTTCCATCTGCGTGCAAGAGTACTCAATCACAATTTCCCTGCCACGAACCACCTGGCCAGTCCCCTCCAAGGGGACCAAAGCTCTCTGCCACCTGGGGTCAGTGAACCGGCTCTGGACCTCAAAGAGAAAGAGACAGCGAACGTGCTTCCAGAAGATGGCATGGGGGAAGGCAGAGCTTCCTGACCCCTTTGTACTTTCCCAAGCCCACTCATCTGAGGCAAAATGGGGGCACTCAGGTGCACAGGGAGAGTCAGGCTGGAGCCCTTCGGCGGTGAGGCCAGAGTGCAGGCAGGAAAGCTGGAGGATGGAACAGAATTTCCTATCTACGAAGGAAAGGAAGGAGAAAAGCAAGAGCGTCTCTGCCCCAGGCCAGAGGTAGAAGAGAGGCGACCTCCCCTCCCAGCAGGGTCAGTACCACGGACAGCTCCCAATATGTCGGGCTCAGCACCACGGGCTCAGTGGGTCGGGCTCGGCACCACGGACAGCTCCCTCCAGCCGCTCCATCGGGGCCCATAGCGCTCCTGCCCCACAGCTCGGCCCCCTTCCTCTCAGATCCCCATACACAACACCGCATACCCCTCCGCAGCCCCCGAATGGAGGTAGCTCCCGTGCCCGATAGCACACTCATTTCTACACGTAGCCACTCCAGTGTCCCCTCATTCACCCTCACTGCACACGCATCCCCCTGCCTCACTTCACAGCCCTCTGTCCTGGTGACACACTGCATCTGCAGAGCCCCTGACCACGAGTTTGACCACTCTGGGCGTCCCTCTGCACTTACACCACTTGTGTCCCTCCAGCACGCACACCTCTGAGCCTCCCCACCTATCCCACTGCACTTGTGCCCCACATCCCACTTATCATCAGGCACTACCCCCGCACACACATCTCCATATCCCATTATGCCAACATCCCATTGCACTCAAACTGCCATCTCCCACCACACACGAATGCGCCCCATTATGCGCACACCTCGTGCTCCACACCTCGTGCTCCATTGCCTATGCACCCTAAAATCAGTTGCATGGGCATCCCATAGAATGCACATCTATGTGCCCTGCTGCACGTTTGTCCTGAATCTCTCTGCACACACATCCCGCACCCCATTGCACACACTGTCCCATTGCACACGCATCTCACAGCAGGTAGATGCTGCGCCCCACTGCACACGGTCTGTGCTCCATTCTCACCACACTGCGTGCACATCCCATTTCCCATGTCTCCTACTGCAAGCACGCACCTCCCCCCTCACGAAGCATCCCATAGCACTCAGATCCCTGACTCCTCGCACATCCCGCATCCCTCGGCCCCGCGGCACTCACCGGCGGGCGGCGGAGACAAGAAGAGGAGGAGGAGGAGCGGCACGAGCAGCAGGGGCAGGCGGAGGAGGGGTGGTGGTGGGAGCGGCCGCCCCCCCCCGCCGCCCCGCCGCCCCATGCCACCGCGCCCGCTGCCGTGGGGTGCGCGCCGCCAGCAGCCCCGCCGCGCAGGGACGACCATGACGTCACCCGCCCCGCCTCCTTACCCAGCCCCCGCTCGCCTATTGGCGGCTCTGCCTGTCGCTCACAGCCGGCTTGGCCCCGCTTTCTGCGCGCCTTGAGCGCACTATGCTACCGGCACGCCAGGGGGCAGTGTCGCACTCCAGGCCCTGCTCTTTTCTATGCCTGACCGCTGATCATGCAGAGCGCTCCCTCCTACTTCCGGCGGCGTCGGGTCCGCGTGCTTGCCGATTCCGGTCCGGATCTGGTCCCGGGTAGTGCCGGCACTGCCGAGCCGAGCGCACGTATCGGACATCGCTGTTTTCCTCCGCCTCCTCCGGTATCTCCATGGAGTTCCCGGGAGTGCTTTTCCCTTCTTACTTCGGCTGCGGCCCCCCCAAGGACGAGGGGGGCATGGCTCCAGCCGCCGGCTGGGGAGAGCGCGGGAAGGTTCTGGAGGCCGGGCCCGGAGAGCGGCAGGTGAGGGGCAATGGGGACACGGGAGTGGGCACTGAAGGTACGGGAAGGCAGAGGAGGGGGCGCAGGGGGAGGGATGGAGGGCACTGGGAGTACAGGAAGGGAGCCCTCACCTCCCCGCCGCTCTCCCTGCAGGTGCTGCCACCGTTTGTGCCTCTCCGTAGCCACGAGGGCGAGAGCTGGGCCCCGGCCGAGGCCGCGGCAGTGCCGCTGCTGCCGCCCAATATGGGTAAGGGACAGAGGGTGTGGGGGAGCCGAGAATGGGGCTGCCACCTGATGTCAGGACAACCTTGGCAGCCGCCCACCCCACCCCCCCCAGCCCCCCCCCCCGGCTGCTGGGTCCCCCCAGTCACCCCTCAGGATATCCTCTACCACGGTATCCTGCACAGAAAGCTGCGGACCGGGAGGTCTGGGGCTGCGCTGGACTTTGCCAAGCAGGTACAGGCTCGGGTGCTGCTGAGGAGCCAGGGCTGAGCTCCCCTGTGACATCCTTGCACGTCCCCACACTGCTGTCCTCACACAGCTGGGGCACTTCTTTGTGGATCACCCCGAGGATGCCTTCAGCTCCCTGGGGCGACTGCTGCACAAGAACTTCTACCTGGGAGACTCCAGGCTCAGGGTCAGTGCCCTTGGTGAGGCTGAGGGGGACTCCAGTGTACCCCCTCCTGTCTGCTCATAGCAGCACTCCTGCTCTCTTCCCTGCAGAAACGCAGCGCCCGGGACACAACCATCCGCATGACATCCCTGGTGGAAAATATCAACCATATGGAAGCCAGGCGGTGAGTGCTGCTGGGCTGGGGGAGCTGTGGGCTCTGGCACCTGCTTGACACTGGTTGTCCCCTCACAGTGGCTGCCCTCAGCATCAATTTACCTCCCGCCTGCGCTTGTTCTCTCACCTGTGCCGGGACTGGCTCTTTGAGGTGCCTCTGGGGCTGCTGGCTGACTGTGTGCATGAAGAGCTGCTGCTACAGTGGACTAGCCTGCTCTTTGATGACAGTTCCACAGGGGGAGCACTAGCCTGGCTGCCCCCTCAGGATGCAAGCAGTCGTCTGGGACGCCTGGTGTACCCTGGTGGGATGGCCATGAACCACCTCTGTATCCTTCCCTGTGATATGTGGGAGACTCTGGGGCAGCGGGGCACTGTGTGGCAGTGCCCTTAGCCAGCACTCCAGATTTCCAGGATGTGGTGCTGGAGGAGCAGCCTCGGGCACGGGGGCTACCAGTGCAGTTTGAGCTTAATGGGCGCATCCGGCAAGTAGCTGCTGCCCGGGTGGATGGGCAAGGTGAGTGAGCCCTGGGACCTGTGCACTCCATACAGAGATGGTAGGGTCCCTGCCCTTTCACCTGTCCTCTCTCCTGTCTCCTACTAGACTTTGTTGGCGTTCGCTCTGACTACCACTGTGGTGTTTGGAGGATGCCAGGCAAGACAGGAGCTGCCCCCAGCCCACTGCAGGTCATCCACACTGATGTGCCAGCCTCCTGCCTCACTGTCAGGTGTGTGCTGGGGATACAGGGCTCTGGGGAGGTCCTCAGACATGGACCTTCCAATGTAATGCCATATCTCTGCCCCACAGCCCATACCTGTCTGGGGAGCTGTCAGTCTGCACCCAAAGTGGAGCCGTCTATCTGTGGAACATTGAGACAGGGTGAGTTGGAGTGCTGCATCCCCAGCGTTCAGGGTAGGAGGAGGCAAGGGTGCCCCGCAGCAAGGAAGAGCTCTGTCCCTTCCCCACAGGCTGCAGCGTCTCCGCCATGACCCCCAGACCCTGTTTTTCCGGGACCACTCACCCTGGCGCTGGAGTGACTTCACTGCTCACCCGCGGGTGCTGAGCTGTGCTGACCGCACTGGCATCCTGTGCCTGGATGCTCGGGTGAGCATGAGTACAGGGGTCAGGGTCAGCTGAGGGGTGTCCTACTGTTCCCCATGGTGCCGACAGCACCTTGCTGTGCCACTGCAGGCCCCCACGAGTTGCCACTTCGACTTCTTCAAGGTGGGTGAGGAAGCCAAGTGCGAGCAGGGTGAACGCGTAGTATTGCCCATGTACCTGGGTAGGGCTCACCCCTGCCAACACCTCGTTGCCACCCAGGTGAGTCCTCAACGGCTCAAAGTCCCCAAAGCCCCAAACCAACTTGTGCAGCTGGTTTGGATGCCGGTGGGGGAGCCCTGCTGAGCCTTACCCTCTCCCAGTTTGCCGTGTACCTGCTGGACGAGCGCTTGCCGTTGGTGCCTGTGCTGAAATGGTCACACATGATGAAAGCACCCCCTCTGTTTGCTGACATTGTTCCGGGGGAGTCTGGAAGGAGCCATAAAGCGCTGCTGGGCACCTCTCATACCCAGGAGCTGCTGCTGCTGCAGTACACAGGTGAGAAACCAGGTAGGGGACACAGAAACTCCACTCATGTCCACGACCTGACCTTGCTGCTTCACTAGCCGATTTTTGACATGTCTTATTGCAGGGGGCGACCAGATGGCCTGCCAGCTCGCAGGGCCACCACAGCAGCTACACAGCATTGCCAGCTGCCTACCTCACCTTCCCACACAGCTCCCACACCAGCACCACCTGCTCCAGAAGCGCCTCAGCATCCCTGCAGCTGGTGAGTGGTCATGGGGCATGTAGGTCATGCAGGGGCAGCAGCCAGCAGTTGGTGCTGCATTGGGCATGCATCAAAAGGCAAATGCTACTCAAGATGAGATACACATGGCTTAGGAGAGGACATAGGGACAAACTGGGAAAGAGAAGTGAGTCCTGCACCCACGGGAAGTGAAGTAGGGTATGTGGTGATGATGCCCCATTTATCCCCATAGGGCTGGCTGCTGTGCAGCATGAGCAGGGTGAGCAAGAGTCCCTTCTGGTGTTCCAACTCTCCGAGGCAGGTGATGTCTTCTACCAGATGCTGAGGCACGAAGCAGCATCCTCATCTGTTCCTGACCAGGGGGACGAGGCAGAACCAGCTCCCACTCCCAACAAGGAGGATGAGGCCGCAGCATCCCTTGGCTCTCCCATTCTGTTTGGCAGTGAAGAAGAGGAACAGGAGGAGGAAGAAGAGCAGACCTTCTACTTGTCCAATCTAGAGGTGATAATCAATGATGAAGAGGAAGAGGAGGAGGAGGTAGTGACCACGCCAGCAGCCACTGAGGAACCTGAGCCTCTTGCCAGGCCCAAGCCTGCCCCAGATGTGCCCAGTGCAGCTGCAGCTCTGCGGTACCGCCGCTGGCTGCGGGCACTGCTGCAGGCATGGATGGGCTCCCCAGCATCCTCCTGCCGATCAGGGCCCCCTACCCTCAGTCAGCGGCGCCTCTTCACCCGCAAGGAGCTGTCAGAGATGGCACCAAGTGTCCTACAGCAGTACCAGCTGCAGCTGCGCCAGGCCATGTGTGAGCGGGGCCGCATCCAGCGCTGGGAGCCAGCCCCAGAACCTCCCAGCCCAGCACCCTCCTTGGAACCCAATGCCTTGAGTGCCAGGCTAACAGCAGCATGGAGAGGCGAGTGGGGGGCCGTGGGGCCAGCTGGCAGCACCCTGCAGAGGCAACAAGCACTGCGGGAACGACGGCGGAGGCAGAAGCGCAGCCGGGCTCACCGCAGCCTCTCGGCCAGCTTCACCTCCTCCATCACCTACCAGTCTGAGCTGTCCGAGCTCAGCGAAGGGGCCACTCCCCGCACTCCCCCGTCCACCCCACGGGAGGTGGTGGTGTCCTCTCTGCCTGGCACCCCCCCACCGCCTCCCACCGAGATCCTGCTGTCCTCTCAGGAGCTGCGATCCCGCGGCATCCCCAAGGAGCGTCGGCGCACGCTGCGGGACTACCTGTCTGTGTGGGCCGAGGGCCCGCAGGATCCCCCCGAGGCCCCCAGCAGCATCACAGTGCAGCGCTGCATCCCCTCCTCGCAGAGCCAGCTCTCCAGCTCACAAAGCCAGCTCTCCTCTGCCTCGCAACCGCGTCGCAAGCGGCCCCGTATGGGCTTCTGAGCAGCAATAAACGCAGAGTGGCACTGCTCTCGTTGTCAGGATCCTTGGGAGAACCCACGCGGAACGCGTGGAGGTGACGGCGCGGGCGGGTGTACGCTCGTCGGTGTGTGGGTGAGCGGGCAGCACCGTGCTCGCCTCCTGCGGGGTGGTCGTAGCGTGTGACACTGTGCCGTGCGCGTCACGCGTGGGGGCATGGAGGAGCGTGCGGGCCCTTTAAGGCGCGGGAGTGACGGGGTGGGAGCCAATGGGAGCGCGGGGCGGGGGCGGTGCCGCTGCGGGCGATGGCGGCGGTCCTGGCGCGCGGGTTGGCGCGCGTCTGGGTGGCGCGGGCGCGCGCTGGGCAGGTGGGCGTGGGTGGGCAGGGGGCGCGGGAACCGCGGGGGCGGAGCCGAGGGCACCGCAGGGGCGCGGGGCTGCAGGGAATGGAGCGGGGGGATCCTCGGCGGTGCCCGCGCTGCCCTCCGTGCGAAGTCCACGAATGAGGGAGCGCCTCCTGCCGCGCGTCTTGTCTCACTGCGGCCTGTGCCCACGAGTGCGGCCCCGACATCGACTCGCGCCTCCCCTCGCCCAATCCCCACCTCGCACCCCTGATGTGCCCGCGTGGCCGCAGCGCGCGGTCCCCTCCCCACGCGCGCCGTGACATCCCCGTGTGTCTCCAGCGCTGCCACTGCGCGGCCGGCGGGCAGGACGGAGAGGTGGGCAAGGCGCAGCGGGTGGCCGCCGAGGTGGGGACGGAGCCCACCATCTTCAGCCGGATCATAGCCCGCAGCGTGCCGGCCACCATCCTGTATGAGGATGATGAGGTAGGGGTCAGCGGAGCGCGCGTCATGCTGTGGGTTGTACCCACGCGAGAGAGCTCAGCCTGCCCTCCCTCCCTCAGTGCCTGGTGTTCCGCGACGTGGCTCCGCAGGCGCCCGTCCACTTCCTAGTGATCCCCAAGCGCCCCATCCCTCGGCTGAGCCGCGTGGGTCCGCAGGATGCGCAGGTGAGAGGGTATGGCTGCCGAGGGCAGAAGTGGGGTGAGGGACGCGGGGCTGAGCCCCGGGCTCCGCTCCCACAGCTTCTGGGACACCTGATGGTGGTGGCAGCGCGCACGGCGCAGGCGGAGGGGCTGTCTGACGGCTACCGGCTGGGTGAGTCGAGTGTCCCCACCGCGTGTCCCCCCACGGTTGACACTCTCTTCCCTGATCCTTGCTCCTCTCCCCGCAGTCATCAACGACGGGAAGCACGGTGCCCAGTCGGTGTACCACTTGCACCTCCACGTGCTGGGCGGGCGGCAGATGAACTGGCCCCCCGGCTGAGGTCCTCCGCCCCCCTTAGGTTACCCCTTAGGTTACCCCACAATAAAGTTTCTTGGGGACATGCAGTGGATTTTCTGGCTCTGTTTTGTGGTGACTCTCTCAGGGATGGAAGTTGGTTTTTTAGTTCTGACCCATCCTGCACTGTACACACCAGACCATGCACAAATGTGCAAAACCTTGCATTGCACAGCCCAGACCCACTGTGCATCCGACGCTGTGCAAAATGTTGCATTGCACAGTGCAGGCCATACACCACCATGCACAGCACATTGCATACATCAGCAGCAAACGTGTATCTGCTACAATGCACAACACACTGCTTACCCCAGCCTCTCCCCCCCCCCGCACGTGCAGAACACGCGCAGCGCACTCCTGTCGGAGAAGCTGCGGGCGCGGTTCCAGTCCATCCGGACACGTGCAGGGCCGCAACGCGCAGGCGCCCGTGGGCTCCCTGCCCCGCGCCTCCCGCTCCGTCCGCCGCTAAATTTAGCGCGGGGCGGGCGCTGGCGCAGCGTGCAGCCCACCTGGCACCGCAGCCTGGGCCCGCGCCAGCCGCCCAGGGACCGCAGCCGCCGGGGATAATGTGGGGTCTGTTCAGCAGGGGGCTTCTGCTGGGGCCCGGCTGGGGGGCACCGGCGGGTCCCTGCTCTCCGCGTGCTGCTCGCAGACCCCCGAGGTTCCCGTTAGCAAGAGCTGGGCCCCTCCTGTACGGCTGGCAAGCAGCAGCAGCACAGCAGCAGGAGGTTGACGAACGCCAAAAGCACTCCTTGGGTTGGGGAGGTTCCCAAAAATGCATGGGCGCCGAGACACCGTCTCCGTGCCACGCCGTGGGGAGCGCGGCGGGCGAAGGTCCAGAGCTGTTCTCACTCCTCAGCCAAGCACTATCGCAAATGACGCAAGTTCCCCAAAGAGATCGCGGGGGGAGGGGGCGGAGGAGCAGGGGGGATGTGTCACCGGCACGCCGTGCCCAGATGTGCTTCGGCTACGGGCCCCTCCACAGGGCTCCAGCACGGACGGCCCCAGCGGCTGCCGCAGCCCCGCTGCCCCGCCTGGCGCAAGGCCGAGCGCCTGGGGAGGGGCCGCCGCGCTGGGGCAGGGGGTGGGACGTGAGGTCGGCCAGGATAAACAGAGGCCCCAGAGCCGGAGCGCGGTGGCACCGCCGGCGCACACCGCAGAGCGCTGCAATAACAGCCCGGGGCCGCCGCCGCCGTCAAAGGGCCCTTCTTCTGCCCGGCGGGGGGGGAGCGGGGCCGGCGTCCTGCAGGCGCTGAGGGCGGCTCGGCCCTGCCCTGCCTGCCCCGGGCTGTCACTGTGGGGTCGAGCTCGCAGCTGGGCGCCTGGCACGAAGGCCCCGCCCGGCAGCTCGCACATGGCGCGGCCGCGCCGGCCTGGCCACGCCTCCTTTTGCCCCGGCCACGCCCCCTTTGCCCCTCTCGCTCCCTTTTGCCCCCTTTTCCTCCTGCCCCGCCCCTCGCTCATCCCCGCCAATGAAAAGCGCTCCCGCACACGGCGCCGCCAATCAGCGTGCGGGAAGCGCGCTTGTTCACCGTCCCCATGGAGATGCGGGACGCGGCCATGCAACGTGGAGCGCGGCGGGGGCCCGAGACCCCCGAAGGGTGGGTCCGGGACACCGGGGGGGGCCGTGGGGAGCTCATTGGGGTCACGAGCCTTTGGGGGTCTCCGGGGTCATTTGGGGGTTCAGAACACAGGGCACATGGGCGGTGAGAGGCTACCAGAAGGTGTGGAGCAGGGATCGCACCATGGGAAGCAGACCAGCTGTTCCTTTGTCCCCACGCAGGGTGGCTCTGACGGGCCACATCGTTCCCGTGGACCCCGCAGATGGACCCGCGTGCAGGATCGGGCTGCGAGGTGAGGTGCTGCTGCCCATGGTGTCCCCATGCTGCAGAGACATGGTAGCTGTAGCTGAGGAGCCCCAGGAGGCGATGACGACCCCGACTGAAGACGCACCCAAGGTGGTGGACACAGAAGAGGACCAACACGAGGTGCCGTTGAGTCTGACCAAGGATTCCCCTAAGGTGCTGGTGTCCACAAACAAGGATCGCCCTAAGGTGCCAGCAGAGCAGCTGAGATACAACATGCCACGGGGGACCTGCCTGATCCACAACTGGCAGGAGGAGGTAAACCCCCACCCCAAAACCAGCCTGGAAACCACCACGAGCCCCTGCTCCCTATCCTGGGGATGCCCTTGAGTTTTGCAGGTGGGGAAGGAGCCTGACAGCGTCCACCCTGAGGCTCAGCTGAACGCAGGCAGGGAGGTTCAGAGGGAGGCTGCACTGGAGCAATGGTGCATGTTCCAGAAGCATCCATTTAGGCAAAAATTAGATGGAGGACACCCAAAATACCCACTGGGTGCCCCTAGACCCCTACATCACAGGGCTGAGGTTTCCTCCAAAAGGAGCTGTGAGCATTCTGGGACAGTGACTCCATGGTGCGCCCCACACTGTGTTCCCAGAGAGCCACCAACCACCTGGACTATGTGGTACCACTGGAGTTGGGCAGCGAGGGCTTCATCTTCCGGCACGGTCACCGCGGGCTGCTGGCTCCCCTGCACGCACCAATCTCATTGCCTTGCAGCACCACCAAGGATGCCTTCCGCCCACCCCACAGAATCCCACTGCTGGCACAAGGTGCAGCCTCAAAAAAGGGGAGAGGGGTTTTGGGGCAGAGTGGGGGGTCATGATGCTGAGGATGCTGGCACCCCACAGGGCAGCGAGAAGCCATGCTGGAGAGGATGCTGTACCAGAAGTACCGGTGAGCCTGTGGGACTCCAAGAGAGGCCCATCCTTAGGGACTGCAACATTGGGCATGGGGAGGGGTGACCTGTGCACCTCCCACTGCCCTGTAGGCAGGAGCTGATGGAGGAGATCCACCCACCGCCTGGTTCCATGGAGACCCTCTCCACCACACACCAGGATTATCAGGCAGGAGGCTTCCAGCCCACACCCCCACTGACCACCCAGGTACTGCCTGCTACCCTGCATCCCAAAGAGGGGGTCTCTACATGACCTCCCAACTCACAGGGGATTTCCTCTTTTCTTCTGCAGCCCCATAACTACCACATGGAGCAGCCCCGCAGCTTCTGGCTGGAGCGAGTCCACAGCGTGCCTGTGAGTACCCACACCCTGCCCCACCACCTTGCTGTACCCACTGCTCACAAGGGTCTCTGTATCTCTCCCCTCCAGGGTGTCACCTGCATCCGCACTGGGGACAGTCCCTTCCGTAGGAACGCCACCTTCTCCACCCCCATCAGCGAGTATCTGGAGCAGCCTCTGCCCTATGAGGCAGCTACCCGCCAGCTGCAGCCCAGCATGCAATAAAGAGCAGGAGCCCTGCTGCTGGCACCCTGGTGTTCTCTGGGATGTTTCCAGAGCAGGCTGCGGGGACCCCAAATCCCAATGCAAAGGGGCATTCTATGGAGCAGCACACCACAAAATGCGGCACATCCCCTGGGAGGTGTCCCTCCACAGTGTCCACAGTGGATGTCACATATCCCCATCCCTATTCCCAGATAGGTGACACCGCCCCATCCCTATTCCCAGGTGGGTGACTTGCATCCCCATCCCCAGGTGAATGACGTGTCCCCATCCCTGTCCCCAAGAGGATGACATGCAACCCCATCCTTATACCCTTGGTGAGTGTCAAGTGTCTCCATCTCTGTCCTCAGCCCTAGGTAGATGGTACGTGTCCTCATTCCCAGACTAGTGACACACATCCCTATCCCCATATTAATGACACGTCTCCTTCCCCATCTCTGTCCCTAGGTGGGTGATGTGTCCCCACCTCCATCCTTACCCCTGGTGGCGGACATGTCCCCATCCCCACCTGCCCCAGGGCTGCAATTCTGGCCCCACACCCCGCCCTCCAAGGTCCACACCTCACTGGGACAAAGCAAAGCACAGGAGCTGGGAACAGCAGGACTAAGGGCAATTTGTATTTCAACAAAATAGTCTGTGCGCACGCTTATATTTACACCTGGGAAGGGGATATTTACAGGGCTGGGGGGGCTATATACATAGGGACGTGTGGAGAGGAGCAGCAAAGTCTAAGCCTGTTCCACTCCTTTCCTCTCTTTGGGAAAGGGGTGAGACAGGTGTGGGGGGAGCTGAGTACTGAAAAGAGAAGGCAAAGTGCCCTGCAGGGCAGCCAGGCCCTGGGGACGGCTCAGACCCGCCGAGCCGCAGAGGTTGGGGATGGGGAGTCCGGACCGAGAGGCTGGGGTAGTTGGGAGGCTCCTCCCACCCAGGGGCAGCAGGAGGCTTGGAGGGAGCTTTGCTGGTGCTGATGGAGGGGACGGGCGGTGCAGTGCTCACTGAGCCCCCGTGCCCCAGTACTGCTGCGGGGGGTCCTGGTGCTCCCCAAGGGTGGGGGGGGGTTCCGCTGGGCTCAGACAGCTTTGGGGTCTTTCCGCTCGCCCAGCAGCCAGTACGTCCGCATCTTCCCCTTGCCCTGGGTGGGGGGAAATGGTCAGATCCCCCAGGACTGCGGTCCCCACGGTGCCATCCCCAGCACTGCATCCTCACCTTCATCTCCACATCTCCGCGCAGCTCCAGCTCAAAGCAACCAAACTCATCCAGGACTTCTTTGGTGGTGGAGGAGACATGGATCTTCAGGGCTGGGGTGGAAAGGGACATGGATGGGGCTAGGAATTGGATGCACCTGTGGTGCTCAAGGCAGGGTTGGGTACCGCCAGCCCCATGGCTCACCCTGTCCATTGGACTCCATGCGGGACGCCGTGTTCACTGTATCCCCAAACAGGCAGTACCGCGGCATCTTCAGCCCCACCACTCCTGCGCAAACAGGACCTGGAGGCGCCGAGATGCTCAGGGGTGGCGAAAGGACAGAGAGCATCCCACCATCTGCAGCCCGATGGTGCAGCAGCCTCCCAGCACCCCAGGGCTCACCGGTGTGAATGCCGATGCGCAGACGCAGTTGGTCATTAGGCCGGTGCCGGATTTTGAAGGTTTTGACGGCTTCCAGCAGGGCCAGGGCCATGCGGACAATCTCATGGGCGTGCAGCTTGCCATTGCGCACTGGCAGCCCTGAC